CTCAAATAAAACTCTTTTCTATTCCTATTATGGATTTTTTATTGATTGTTTCCATCAACATTACCTAGACAAATTATGACAAAATGATTTATAGGAATAATGTAACTCAAACACACACACACCAACAACTGCACACACATTGGCATTTTGAAAGAAAAAGTTGTCGATTTCATTGCTGTCTTTTGTAACAAGAGTTGGAAAAGCACAATACAATATGATCTACTAGATATTTAGTGAAAAATGTCAGGGTCAAAGAAATCAGTTATCACCCATGCTGTCATACAGGTGTAAAGGTGAAAAATATATTACTAGGTGTGGAAAGATTCAGAAAAGTTTTTACCTATAGACTTATCTTGAAATATTTACTTAGACTTATTCTATTTAGTTGATAGGTAAATTATATTAGCAATTCAAAGATGGAGAATTATTCTATAAAACATGTACAGTACTGATTTTCTTTTATCTAGATTGAACTTGAACTCCACAAATTGAGAAAGAATACCGGCAGTCACGTGTATGCAATCTAAGGGAACTAAACTTGAAATGCTTTGTGGCACCTCCACTGTTCTCCTTATTTCCCCTCCATTGCCATCACATAAAATGCATCTCTGTGAGACTAATCCCTATTTACAATCCATTTGAAATTTATTGCCACATCTGTTTATCAATTACAACAATAAATGGTCCAACAATAAATGGTCATGTTCTATTCCAGTACTTATTTACTAAATGACATATTTGGGACACTGCTAAAAGACATACTCAGTTATTATTTTTTCCCCTTCAAAATGGTTGCACAAAGAAATGTAATTGTAATTTTCACTCTCAAGGATATTGCATAATGAAAGTGTGCAGCTTTAAAACACTTATTTAATGGTCTAAATTAGTACCTTTATTAAATATATAAATGCAAAGATAAGTAAAACCACCAGGATTTTCCAGAGATGGTTCTTCATTCTACAGAGCAATTCAGCTCTGCCGTGGTTCCTGTATTTGAATTAACATAAACTATTATCACCATTACAGGACTCAGCAGAAAAGAAGAAAGACACTTCAAATTTAAAAAATTATTCTCTTTATAAATAATAATTTTATGTTGCATGAACTTGAGAGTTATTAATTTTATCTACTTCTTATAATAACCCAATTATTAATCATTACTAATAATTATTTCAGATACATCCAGAAATACTTGGTTGATGTGGAGGTGGGAGGCCGCAGAGACCATGATAGCAAAGGCAATATTCAATTCAAATAGTTTCCAGGGAACCAGTAGAAGGATACACCTTTAACAAAATGTTAATCTGCTTTATAATGTAATGGGGGGGAATGCAAAGAGTAAAGTGATCTGTATAATCTTTTCTCCACTTAAGATCATATTTCTCATCATTTATACTTACTCAACTAGCATTTATCTAAGTTCAACTTCTTCCTGGTGGCAAATGAGCACAATTAAAGTTCTGGCTGGAAACTTCAGGTAAGAAATTTTTAAATCTCATGACAAGCAATACATAAGCAATGTGTAATGTACATGTAGACTTTATATTTTCTTCTAAAAGAAATATCAATCATTACAAGTTTGATGGTTAACTTCTGGTTTGTTTCATTGTTTCCCTTTGAAAAAGTTTTCAGGTTTCTGGAAATAACTTGAGGGTCCCTCCCCAGCTCCAGTTATACAATTCACAATAATTTTATAGATATTGAGGGAATTGTATTATAGAGCAGTAAATTGAGAGTTTTATCTAAATGTGAGCCCAAAGGCCTCTTTAAAACTTCACTTACCTCAGTTCCAACGAGTGGAAAACTTATTTCTTCCTGCATTAGCCAACACATAAAGTAACAAGTAGGATTTATACCGATGTATGGTGAAGGCAAAGGTGATTCTCACAAGTGACCACTATGGTCTTTACGATAGAACATGTATAAAGATCAAGATGACATCCTTCGATAGGTATTTTATTTTCTTAATATTGTGCAGTGGATTTTTTATATCTACATATTTTAAATATACATATATCTCAAATAAATCTCAAATAAGTTTATGCAAAGTCAAATTTATTTATTAACAAAAGAAAATTTAAAGTTTCTCTAAACAAAATCCTGTTGTGCAACCAATTTTGTTATTGTAAATACTGTGCTTGCTTCCTTTGTGCAATTAGGTAAAGCACATTTTTTATTATCATCTATGATAAAAATATTCATATATACTAGCTTCTTTTCAAATATGTTAGCTTTTTCTTTGAATTCAATTGATTTCACAAATATATTAATCATGTTTTTAGCTGTAGTCTCTCAAAAATTTTCTGGAAAGAGTATATTATCTTTTCAGTGCTCTTAAGGTCAGAATAATTAAAATCACATTTTCAGACCCTCACATTTCAAAAAAACCTTTTTTTACAACCTCTTTAAACGTCTATGGTCAATATAATTTCTTCATTTGGTTTTCTATTAAATTTAAGAACACAAACAAATCTAAAATTTAACCTCAATAGTTTGACAAATTTCTTAACACTTGTCATATTACTAAGATATTTTTTAAATCAAAAAGTTTATGATATAACTCTGGTTTCTCTTGTGCACATTACTCATCACTAATGTCCAGATACTTCAGACTCCAAGATGAGTGTCATATACCACATCTCTCATAAAGACTCTTGTATCCTTATGCCCCACAAAAAGAAACCTGAAAGCAATCTCTACTCTGTAGAGCTCTGAAACAGTTCTTTTAACCGTGTCATTTCATCTGATGGCACTTAGCATTTTCTCTAATTAAGAGAAGGAGAAGGAATTAAAAGAGAAAGAGAATAGATTTTAAACATGTCTTTTACTCCAGGTACTATACTTGTTGCTTAATCAATATTATTTTATTTATTTAAATATATATTTATCTTATATATTGTATATATAATTACATAATTTATAGTATTTATTGTAAGTTATTCATTTATTATATATTAATAAATATTTTATTATCTATTTTGTTGTATTATTTTATACTCACAGAAGCATCCTAAGTTGTTTTAATTTTCATTTTCCAGATGAAAAACCTAAGCTTTGTAAATATTAAGCAGCATAATGTTAAGCTAGGACTTCTTGGCCTGATTCTAAAAACTAAATTCTTTTTATAATATCATGCTGTCTTTAATACGCTATGCCGATTTTTGTTACATTTATGTATGCAATTTTCTTATCTTCCTCTGATAGACTGTAAGATGTATATTAGTATCTCTCTTTGATTCATCTTTTGCCTAGTAGGGAGTTCTGTGCCTAGTAAGTACCCAGTCAACACATATAACCTGAATAAAGACTATATTTTAGTTGTTTAAACTGGATCTGATTCCCTGCTAGTAAATAAAATGAATAAAATAGTAGTACACTGTGACCAGTTGTTCACCCTAGTGTATCAACTATTTGAAAGTCTCCTGGCAAGTAACTGTGGACCAGGGTGACAGCAGCAGACAGAAGTTTTGTGCATACCATAAAATCCTACTGCACAGAGCCTTGAATTGAAATCCACCCCATGAACTGTCTGATTACTCTGCTAAACTTTGAATAGTACTTTGTAAAAGGTAGTAACTGTTTTAATGAAGCAGTTAATGTTTCACTACAGATTATCTTTGGTGATGGGGAGCTCAGAAGAGACATCACTAAAGAAAAAAAAAAAGATTTCTGATTTCAACAGACATTAAAACAAAAAGATTCATCTCTGCTTACTCATAGACATATGCATGCACATACACAGTTTTCATAGAGATTATGTTACTGGGATGACTTGATCCTACATTATTCAGTGTGACTTACACAAATTTATATTGTGTCTTTTATATTGTCTCAGCATGTTTGGGGCAGTTTATGGTTCATATACATAGGTGTCTTATAGTTGATAAGCGGACATGATATACTCTCATGGGCTAATCTATCCTAGTGTTTGACACAGTAGGCTATGGGAGGCAAGGAACCTTAATTCTGTTAATACCAGTTCCTTCTTTATTTTGCTGTATGAACTTGTCAAGTTACTCAACTTCTCTGAGCAACGGTTCTTTCTTTATGTGGGAATAATTAGAGTAACTGCTTCACTGGATCTTTTCTTTAGTGAGGAGTAAATGACATTAATACATGTAAAACACTTTGCACGATGTCTGACAAATAGTGAACACTTAAATGCTAGTAACAATTTTAAAAATCTGAGTCTAGATGTAAAATAGTTTATTCACATAGGCTTAGCTAGCTTTTGAGCAGCACTTTCAAAAGAAGGATGTTTGAATTAGCAATTCTCTTCAAATAGCTCCTATTCACATGTAACATTACCCATCATCTCTTGTATATATTACTTGCACATAGTTTATTTATTTACTTGTAATTTTTTCTCAGTAATTCATTAACATAAAATATTTTCCTAAACATATTATTAAAGTAGTAATAAATATTGCACTCACTATATTTCTTTGTACTTTGCATTTTGTAAGTATTCTCTTTGCAATAATCTTATCTATTAACAACTAAGAACTACTTAAAAAGTTTAATTGTTACTAATGACATTATATAAAATGTATTAAATCTTGGAAAATCTATAGCATTAGCAACTCTACATTTCTGAGTAAGTTCTAGCCCTGTCTGAGGTTTTGGTACCTAGGCCTGAGTGTAGAGTTGAGATACACAGTGGCTTTAAGCAGCTTAGTAGTAATAATTTAACAATTATAAGATGCAAAGGAAGGGTTGAAGGATCAACTTCAAGAAAAGGATCAGAGAGCCAGAATCATCACCAAAGCTAAAGCAACAGGTTGAGAGACAAGACACATGATACCCCTAAATCTCCAATTATCACAAAACTATGATTATAGAGCTACCATGACTAATATCATTTTGTAGAGAGAAGGCTCTTAAGAGTATCAGTGGTTTGAATCAAAACTTAGAAATAATCTGTCTCTCCTTTTTTGCTTAACAAGCAGAGAAATTCATTTCTGCCAAACCTCATTGAATCTTCTACATCAAACGACATCATGTTGAACAAGAACATTCTGCTGTTGGCTCTTCAGATAAGTCTCTTAGGAACCACTCTTGGTGGGAATGTTTTGATTTGGCCAATAGAAGGTAGTCATTGGCTAAATGTTAAGACAATTATAGATGAGCTAATTAAAAAAGAGCATAATGTGACTGTCTTAGTTGCTTTTGGTGCACTTTTCATCACACCGACTTCTAACCCATCTCTGATATTTGAAATATCTAAAGTGCCCTTTGGCAAAGAAAGAATAGAAGGATTGATGAAGGACTTTGTTTTGACATGGTTGGAAAATAGACCATCTCCTTTAACCATTTGGAGATTCTATCAGGAGATGGGCAAAGTCATCAAGGACTTCCATATGGTGGCTAGAGAAGTCTGTGATGGTGTTCTCAAAAACCAAAATCTAATGGAAAAGCTGAAGAAAAGCAAATTTGAGGTCTTGGTGTCAGATCCAGTATTTCCTTGTGGTGATATAATAGCTTTAAAACTGGGAATTCCATTTATATACTCTTTGAGGTTTTCTCCAGCCTCAACAATGGAAAAACACTGCGGGAAGGTACCATACCCTCCTTCCTATGTTCCTGCTATTTTATCAGAACTTACTGACCAGATGTCTTTCACCGACAGAATAAGAAATTTCATTTCCTACCATCTACAGGACTACATGTTTAATATGCTTTGGAAATCATGGGATTCCTACTATAGTAAAGCTTTGGGTATGTTACATTTTTTATTATTTAAGTTTGAACAAACAGAGCTTTGTATCACTTCTTCTCTATTTCCCTATGGCTATTCTTCTTCAATCCTACATATTGATTACTGTCTATTACTATCATTTGACAGCAGGAAAGAACATAAAAGACACTATGATTTGCAGCTACAGTGTGTTGTTTTCTAATTTTATGGACTTGAAGGTACCAAATAAGTTCTTTTATGGATAACATTCTGGTGACAAATACCTAAGTTTAAAAATAGGACTAAATTCTCATTTAGATATTGCACTGAAAATAGAAATTGCCTAGAAACTTCAGTGGGGTATGCAAAAAGCTGGAAGAAATTAAGCTGTCTACAAGCCCATTATTGTAAACATTTGTGCATGTGTATTTAAAAACATACATGTTTATGGAAAATGTTTGATTATTGCACATAGATTTCCTACTGTTTACTAGGCTCTCCCTTAGATAGAGAGGTTACAACAAAGACTGAGACCAAGTTCTTGGATTCAAGGATTTCACAGTCAAGCAGAAGAGATGTCAGACATGAAAAGGAATACTTACAGTATGAATGAGGTGAGTAATGCAAATATGTATAAAGGACAGAGATAGTATAAAGGAGACAGGCAGTATGTGATGAGAGAGAGTGGTATTCTGAAAAACTTCAGAGTTGAGGTGTTGCACCTCAAAAGGAAATTTTTAAACAGTGAATATAAATTTTCCTGCAAATTAAGTATGGGGAAGGAAACAGTGTGCCCAATATTGTGGAGTCTTAAAATAGCATGTGTGTCCTGTGTATTACTGATGATTCAGTATTTATGAAGGTCAAATTGATTTGCATTTCTTTGATGATTAGTGTTGTTGAACACCTTTTCATGTATCTGTTGGCCATCTGTATGTCTTTGGAAAAATGTCATTTCAGATCCTCTGCCCATTTTCAGTCATATTGTTTGTATTTTTGCTACTAAGTTGTATAAGTTTTCATATATTTTGGATATTAGCCCCTTATCAGATATATGATTTGCAGATATTTTCTCCCATATGATAGGTTGCCTTTTTATTTTGTTGATAGTTTCCTTTTTTGTGCAGAAGCTTTTAAGTTTGAGGTAGTCCTACTTGTTTATATTTTCTTTTGTTGCTTTTGCTTTTGGTAGTAAATCCAAAAAACATCATCAAGACCTATGTCAAGGAGTTTAGCACCTATATTTTCTTCTAGCAGTTTTGTGGTTTCAGTTCAAACCACAAAAGTCTTTAAACCATTTCAAGTTAATTTTTGTACATGATGTAAGATAGGGGTCCAGTTTCATTGTTTCACATGTGGTTGTGCAGTTTTTCCAACATGATTTATTGAAGAGTCTGTCTTCTCCACTGTATATTCTTGGCTCCTTTGTTATAAATTAATTGACAGTATATGAGTGGGTTTATGGGTGAGGAGTATGAAGAGGGATGTAAGTTACAACTGGCTGATCATATTCTCTGGATATATTAAATAGTTGCTCCCAAACTCAAAAACAGATATTTATCTCCTGGAATCCAAACAAAAGTCTACCTGTTCTGATTCTTAGAGAGAATAAGCTCAGCTACTATGACAATCGTGAACTACCCTACGAAGATAAAAGTGAATGGTCAACATCATAGGGCTAAAACTGGACCTTAAAAATTAAGAAAGAGGACAAAGAAATGGCAATTTTATAAGGCAACAAAGCTGTCAAGATTTTGAAAACTCTTTAATCTCCTCATGCATGTAGTAAACTAACAGTGACATCTGAACATGTGCAGAATCTGTTAATGAACTAGAGGAATGTACATGGAGAGTTCCTTGGTCACAGTATGTGTCTACATTTTCATCTCATCACTTATGTTTTTATCAACTAGTTGTTCTCAACTTGAGATAATAATTATCAGGATTACGATGTTCTTTATTTATGTTGGTGAAATTATCCCTAGATAAACCTTCTCCATGCTGGCAATCTCAAAATCACATGTTTCATTGTATTTTGCTTGTAAGTTAATACTGGTAATAAAACCACACTATTTTCCCATCTTAAGATATTAGAATAATATTTCTTAACAATTTTTTCATGGGAATGTAATGAAGATTTCTAGAAAGATTCTTACTCTCTGATTTTGATAATCTCATGTTTCTAATCAAATTACACTCTTCCGACTTAGAATGGCTATTTAAACTTTGTTGTACTAAAACACAATATTCTTATTGATGTCCAGGGACTTGAGCACTCATATGCCAAAGGTCAGGTAAGAAATGAAAGTACTGACATGACAGAGTAATTTATTTTTTTGCAAGACTTTGTACATGTGGAATGATAAATGAGGATGATGAACGGAACTGACTTGGAAAAATAACTTATTTCCAATTTGTAATTTGAATTTACCTTTTAATTTAGCTTGACTGCTCTAATCAAAGTCATTGCAACAAATCCATATCTACTCAGTTGTCAAATTGTCACACCTGAGTAAATAAATAGAGGACAACTTTCTTTCTATAACATTATTTTTCTGCAGTGGTATGCTATAAGACCTCAGAGTGAGTCCATCTCTGCTAATTGCTAGGAATTGGATATTATCATGTGAAAATTACTTCTTTTATTTCAGGTAACAGGTATTTGGTTGAAACTCCTGGATATCATTATAGTAAGAGCAGGCAATATTTGTTGATAAGTGCTTCACATGTAATATATACCTTAATCCTTGCAATGAACTTGTGAAGAAAAATCTACTATCACAAATGAGAATATTGAGGCTTAGAAATAGTGAACATGTTAAAATCAAATCATATAGCTATTAGGTTGAGAGAATTTTCAAACAATTCTTTCTGACACCAAAGCGTCTAGAACAATTTTTCTCTCCTTTAAAATCTTCAGGTACAAATTCATCAATTATTCAGAATATTTTAGGTTTAAACTTTCTTGGGTACTTTTCTTCTTCCTTTCAATATATTTAGTTTTTACAATCTGCTATTCTATTTCTCACCTATTTAATTTGCTGAATTGAATTTAATTGGGCCATGTTATCACTAGGCACCTTGTTATTCCTTTAGGCATAGCAATTCTGTTGCCTGGGATAATTTGCCTGAGGATAGCTTTCTGGTCTTAAGAGAGCTTCACTTTAACTGAAAGTTAGAAACGGCTTCTGCAGATTTCAAATATATTTGTCTAAAGTTGATCCAGGTAAATTTTATTTTTGTTTATATTAACAACAAAAAAGCTGCCACCAAAATTGGGGAAACATTTAGGGAAATGATAATGTAGCATTTTAATGCCAGTAAAAATATTTATAATCCATAAATATTACATCTTGCTACCAACAGTTTTACCTTGTGGCCACTATAAAAACAAATATTTTTTTGTGAGTAACTTTTACATATTAGATTTATATAAATATACAATGTATTTTTATATATGAATAATCTCTAAAAACGAATGCCATCTATAATAACAATAGATAATCATGCAAATATATTAAGTTCAATAGGAAAAACTGTAGACCTTCATAAAAGAAAAAAGCTTGACCATAGTATTCAGATCTTCACATGAACGAGGTACTCACTAAGCACAGGTAATTAATGTAAAATAAAGTGCTAGAAATTAGACATATTTGAGTGTGTGTATCTGCACAGTGCTTGATTTCCAGTTGTCATTTTAAAAGAGAAAAAGTATATTGGAATATACTCTTCTTTTCCCTGAAGAGTAATACATTTTAGTTTGGAACATTCTTTTTCTTTCTTTTATTCTCTTCCTGTCTTTCCTTTGCTTCCCTCTCTCCTTCCTTCCTTTCTTCTTCTATTTCAAAATTTAAGTTAATCTTGATTGGTTAGAATTTTTCAAATCACCACTGGTAGCATTCCCTTTTACACAATTACCCATCAGCCAGATGATAGCCATAGGTGGCATGACAACAAAGATGGAACTTGCTGTGGGACATGCACAATTCCCAGAAAGAGCTTTCACTCTTTTTTGCTCCCACTCAATGAAAGGGAATGAAGGTTTTAATCTTTGTAGGTATAATCTTGAGCTTTATATCTGTGTATTTCTTAAATCATTTTTGAACTTTGCAACTGCATATATTGTTAGTGATAGATCATTTGTGATGTGCCTGGAGATTGAGCATGACTGACTCTTGTGGAGAAAATTGCAAGTGTTTGGGAACATCTGCACTGAAGCTCAGGTGCCCCAGGGGGCCATTGTCTGAGTAGTGGAAGAGGGGAGGTGGGTCTAAGTGATGAAATCTAGGTGATCTGATCTGGTTAAATTGATCATTTTAAAGTCAGATTCTCTCCCTACAATATCAAATATAGCTAACATTTATTGAGTGCAAATGCTATTCTGAATAATTTACATACATTGCTTCGTTTAGTACTCATAACTACAGAAAATAGGCACCGTCATTCTCCCCTAGTTTGTAATGAGGCTGAGTAACTTGCCTGAGGTTACAATCAAGGAAGTGGTGAAGGATTTAATGCCAGACCCAGGGCTAAAAAGAAAGCTTTAGACAATATTCAGTGTATACAGGATAAAACAAAGGGAAAAAAGGAAAGTTCACCTAAGTTTAAAATTTCAAATTAGATTTCTGTTCATTAATTTTATATCTGGCTACTTTACCAAATTCATTGATTAGCTCTAGTAGTTTTCTGGTAGAATTAATGCACAGAAATCTTTTGCATTCCTATACACTAAAGCTGAAAAATATGAAAGAGAAATTAAGGAAACACTCCCATTTACCATTGCAACAAAAATAACAAAATACCTAGGAATAAACATACCTCAGGAGACAAAAGACCTGTATGCAGAAAATTATAAGACACTGATAAAAGAAATTAAACATGATACAAACAGATGGAGAGATATAACATGTTCTTGGATTGGAAGAATCAGCATTGTGAAAATGATTATACTACTCAAAGCAATCTACAGATTCAATGCAATCTCTACCAAACTTCCAATGGCACTTTTCACAGAACTAGAACCAAAAATTTCACAATTTGT